TTACCCATTTGGCGCCTCTGTGGGAGCAGCCAGCTGAGGGGGGCTGACAGCTCACAGGTGTCAGCTTCCACCTCTCGGAATCCAAAAGCGACATTGCGCTGGGGTCAGCCAGCCCTGGCACTTGGGCGTCCACCCCGGGCTCGCTTTATGAGGGGGCCTGGACTCTGGGCGTGGGAGGCGGGTATGCAGGCGGGAGCCCAGGGGCCCTGACTTGCTCAGGTTGGGAGAGGAAGAGCAAAAGCTCCCGTGGTCGGTCCTGAGAGGGGCGTTATCGTCCTGAGGGGGGACCCAAGGCCCTCCTGGTGTGTGTCTGCTAAACGTAAGCAGCCTGTTTGGCCGCCATTATTGTTACCTGCAGCTCTGCGTTCGCATACAAGGTCAGAACTGCCCTTCAGAACCGTCAGTCACCTGACCAGGTGCCTTTCAAATCAATCAAGAGCAGAAAGCTTGACCACCTGGGAAGGTGCACCACAAGGCAGGACCGGGAATGCCAGGGGTGCTATTGACTGATGTATGGCAAGGGACCCCAGAACTGACCAGTGGAACGCCTTCTTGATAAGATTAGGACCATGGCCGGGGGCTGCAATCTGGTTTCTATTACGACACTTGGTCATCAAGCTGATAAGAATGATCTGTCACCAGACTCAGTGCTCCCAGGCCCTGGACACACGCCTTGGTGTCACCATCCTTTTCTCCTTGTCCTCCTACCCCGCGGAGCTGATGCTGTATGATCGTTCTAGCAATAAAAAGGCAGGATCTTGCTCTTCAGCAGCATCCTGCGCTCTGCACCCTGCTCCACGACTCCTGTTTCTTTATCACTGTGGGGCTGCCCGACGCCTGAACCCACGCAGCTGACGCATGGAAATGAAAAGGCTGAAGAGCAAAAAATGTCAGAGCTGGAAGGTCCCCAGGGTGCCTCTGCCCCAGTGCCCTTTTTCCAAGAAAGGGAAACTGAGCCTGGAGAGCCAATGGAGCCTGGCAACTCTTTGTAGGAGCCTCAGCTTCCAGAAACCCAGCGCGCTTTTTGGAGGCTCCCTCCCAGGCTGACAGGGTGACCTCAGTGGTTGATACTTCCATGGCACCACAGACTCACCACCCGAGTTGTTGGGGCAAATGGCCAGGAACCTCATCTACCCAGGGAGGGAGCTGGCGGGAGGCTGGGCTTCCTCTCAGGCACGTTTAGGACGCCTGCCCACCGCCCAGATGCCCAGAAGCACTGGGGTGGGGAGGCTGTGGTTTGCGATGCGCCACGCGCCCAGGGCGCAGCGGGAGGCTCCCTGCTCGGGCCGTGTGGGTGTCAGTGACATGGCTCTCATTGTTCCCAGCCCAGGAGGTCAGGCTGGGGCCACTCCCAGCACAGATACACGGTCAGGTGTCTGTCAGGTGACCGCCCCGTGTCGCCCTGCGGGGCCGGGTGTCGAGAGCCCAGACTTGGGAGTCATCTGCGACTCCACCGCTTGCCGTGTGACCGTGGACAGCTTACTCAGCCTCTCCGAGCCTTGGCTCCTCCTGCTCTATAAAATGGAAAGAAAGTAATGGCACCTGCACCTCGTAGGGAGCTCGGAATCAGTAAATGTCATAAATATATATACATCCTTTAAAATAAAATCTTTTGTTAAAGATTGTCATTAGCTTCAACTTCTGAGGGAGACCAAGGGCAAGGTGGTGGGTTGGATATGGTGGTTCTTAACTGGCAACAACACTCCCCCTACCTCCCCCTCTGCCACCGCTTGGCGTGGGGGAAGCATGAGGTTTGGCGGTTCCTGAGACACTTCTGGGAGGCGCTCCTGGCAACCAGCTGGTCCAGGCAGGAGGCTCCTGAACATTCTGCAGAGATGCTGAATGAAGGGACCAAATGTCACCTATGCCACTATGGGGAAGCCTGATGAGGGCCCGTGGAGTAGAATGGGGCACCCCCTGAGCGAAGGGGGGCTCTCCTTGGACCCCTGAGAGGGCTCTGGATTTCAGAAGGCGCTGTCATCAGGACGCCCAGGCCTTTGGGTTTTGAGCACCCTGGGCCTGCTCTCCCGCTGAGATGGCTCCTTGACCCCTCCTCGTGAAGCAGCCCTGGAGGTCACCAACAGGGGGCACTGCAGCCGCGGACGGAGCCAGGCAGACGCTCCTGGACAGCCAGGTGAGGCTGGCCTTTCCCCACTAAGCAGGAAAGAGGGGCCCCCTGGGGGGCCTCCTCCCCAGCAGCTGGTGCATTCAGAACCCCACCCCCCAGGTAAGTGTGCAGAGAGAATCTTAGCCCAGAGGCTTCCTCCACATGCCACTCACGTTCTTCAAGTGAAGAAGAGGTGAACCTCGCCCAGCTGGCGGATGAACTGGGGGAATGAGTCTTATAAAAATATTAAGTAACTGTTGATGTCTCATTTTCTAAAAATATAGCTTTCTACCTCATTCTTGGTGCACGTGTGTGTGTGTGGTGGCATGAGGTGCACCTGACATGTTGCTAAGAGCTCAGGCCCAGCCTCCGGGGTGCTGGTCTTGGCCCTTCTGGAAAGTTCTGTGTGACCCTGTGCAAATCTTTCGCCTCTCTGGAGCCCTCCGAAATGGAGCAAGGGGCTGCACTGTGGGCTGCCAGGAATATAGGCCTCCAAATTCTGAGTGCCCCTGAAGCCAGGATGAGCCACCCCAGGTGTCCGTGCCCACCTACCTCAGTGAGGCTGACTCTTGGGAAGTCTGGGTCGTGTGTGAGCGAACAGTGGAGGAGGCGAGGCCATTGTCTCTCACCTTCCTGAGGGCAGAAGTGTCCTTTCCATGTCTCCACCAAGACGGAGGCTGAGAGACTTGAAGAGTATTTCCAGTTCACTCGCTCATACAGGGTGCAGATTTTACAGAGGATTCTTTCTGTTGTTCTTTCCTGCAGCCAGCAGCACCCCCTCCAAACTGCACTGTCATAGCTCCTGGCTGGCCCCCTGCAAGCGTGTGACCTGGGCGCACTCGCGCCTGCCAGCAGCCAGGGGAGGAGTCTTGGAGCTGCCATGGGCTGTGCAGCCTGGGCTCCTGGGGGAGGGCGGGCTTCTCTTGTTGATATGGGGCCCCCATCATGGTCCTCCTGGCTGCCAGCTGGCCCCTCTGTTGTTGTCATGCCCTCAGCGCCATCTGGGCCTATATTTAGCCGCCGTCCTGGCCCAGCAGGATCAGGTGTCTGCCATGCCACACGTCCTGGAGAGGGGCTGTTGGGGCCTGAAGGTAAGCCCAGACTGTGGGGCCAGGTGGCCCGGCCTCTGACCCAGGCTGCCTGGTGCCTGTTGCTTCTCCCTGGCCCAGGCCCATCTCAGGAGAATCAGAGCAGGGGGCAGTTGATATGCATCACAGTCTTCTCGGTGCTAATTGTACACCAGTCCCCCTTCTGTGGGGGGTACGTTCCAGGACCCCCTGGTATATGGCTGAAGCCACAGATAGCACCGAACCCTAGATACACTGTTTTTACCCATGCACACATCGATGATTGAGGTTTAATTTGCAGCTGCATTTGATTAATACCAAGACCCTGGTAATAAAGACACTGTCCTGAGCACCTGACGTAGTTGAACTTCAGGTCCTCACAGCTCCATCATGTAGGTACCACTGTCCGCAATTTGCAGGTGCGGAAACTGAGGCTCAACGAGATTATGTGACACGTTGCAGGTTATGCAGGTGGTGAGTGGGGGAGCTGTGACCCTCACCCTGAGCTGTGTGTCCTCTGAGGCTCTGCTGTGCCCAGGCACCTATTGAGCACCAGCTGTGTACCCAGTAGAGTTGCTCTGGACTCTGAGACTCCCGCAGAGACCATTTAGTCCCAGTCCTGCCCTCGTGGAGCTCACATTCCAGTCAGGAGGGGCGGTTCAGAATGAGTGCTGAGATAGAACTCCCTGGGGTGAGGAGAAACCAAAGTGCCCTGGGTCCGAGGCGGTCAGGAGAGGGCACTCTGGGATGGTAGCGTCTGTGCCAGGACCCGGAGGTGAGCGGGAGAAAGCTTTGTGAAGCGCTGGGAGAGGGAACCACAGGTGCAAAGGCCCCGGGGTGGGGCAGAGGGGAGGAATGGCCAGGGAATGGCTGACCGATTAGGAGCTGGTCAGCGAGGGGGGAGCTTCATGTGTACTTTAGAGGAGTGGGATGCTGCTCACCGCTCCCGAGGCACTGCCACAGCCTCAGGACCTTTGGGAGCAGGTCGGTAAACTATCAGCACCTTGAAATTATGGGGGGAGATTTTACAGCAAGGAAATTGGCAAGCACCACAAACCATGGCTTCCCCCAGGGCAGCAGGTGGCTGATATTTACCTGCCCGGCACTGGTTCTCGGCAGGAAGCCAGTTCGCTGGTTTGAGCTTGCTGGTTCAGGAGAGGGCGCTCTCTGGCTGCTGGGTGGGGAAGGGCCCGCGGGGCACAGTGCAGCTGATGCCCAGAGGGGAAGACTGTTTCATTGGTGCGCGTTGATTTGTTTGGGGGCTGGACCGGGCTGTGCCTGTGGATGGATCTGAGTGATTTGGGAGGGGAACCAACGGGGCTTGCTGAGATGACCCCGCTATGGAAGCTCAGAGCAGGGAGGTGACACAGCCAGGGTCACAAGGCATGGCGGCCTGGCAGGTGTCATCTACCCCCAGACCTGCCAGGCCCTAGATCCATTCTGTTCCTTCAGTGTTTCCCCATGTTGCCATGAAGATTCTTCCTGGAGACCTGGAGGAAAATGTTCAGCAGGTGCCGGGCTGCTCCTCAGCCCTGACTCCTGTGGGTAAGAGTGCCCCTTCCCACACCACTGTCGCTGGGCTGGTGAGTGAGATGTCACCAGCATAGACATCAGAAGGCCCAGCCCTCCTTGGGTGAGTGGTGGCGGGGACCCATGCCTCCCAGGAGGCCCCCCACTGCCTCAGGAGGGCTGCCCCAGAGACCTCCCAGGGTCCCAGACCTGCTTGAATGAGTCTCCAGCTCTGGGATCTGGAACCTTCCCTGGTGCAGAGGATGATGGTAGGAGCCAGTCTGGGGCCTCAGAGGAGCCAGCCAGCTTCCCTGGCGGGGGGCTGCTCCGGTTCGGGCCTCCTCCACCACCTGGGGTGGGAGGGAGGGGACAGAGCTGGGTCACTTTCGTTCCCTCAGCGTGGGGGAGGGTGCTGTGGGTCTGAGCAGCACCAGGTCTTTGCACAATCGAGGAACAGACAATAGTCCCTGCTTTTCTTCCTGGAACTCACTCTCCCCTAGGCCCTCCCAGGCTTCACTCCCTCCCGAAGCCACCTTCGCCCACCAACCCCAGCCACAGGGCTCAGAGAAGGGGCTCTGCTGGGCTCCGTCGCCATTGTGATGGTGACGGGGTGGAGGGTGGTGGTGAGAAGAAGAGGCAGGGCTAGGCCAAGGATTGTCCCTGAGACAAACACCTGCATCTCAGGCGCCATGATGGCCGTGCTCCCCCCTCACCCCCTAACCTGCTCACTCGTATCCTTCTAGACTACCTGGCCCTGCGCACACACATCCGTGCATGTTATTTTAGCAAAAAATGAGACAACGCTACATGTTCCATGTGGCCTTTTGATCTCAGGTGCAGTTCTCATCTCCAGGCTGCGTTTCAGGAAGCGGAGGCTCAGAGAGGTCAGGTGTCTTTCCCGGCATCACACAGCTGGTAGCCCTGCCTGGCTCCACGGCCTCACATGCATGTGGAGCGTCACCCGGGGATGAGGACGGGCCGGTCTTGTCCCTAGTGGGGGCACATGGGGCTGTAGAGTGGGTGGGATTGGAATTCTGGGCTGGAGGCCTGATCTGGCTCTCACTTCTACTCCGCAGTGAGACTCAAGCCCTGGGGTCAAATACCAGCCCCCGGAGGCCTTGTTAAGGCTTTCGAAGGGGGCGGCTTTCGCCATTTAATTGTGGCTCTGCCCTTGAAACTGGCTCTCAGCTCTCGTGGCTCCCAGCCTCATCTTGGATTTCTCTCTCTCAAAACCCCGGGGATGAGGCTGGGAGGTCCACGACCGGCCCCTCAACAGCCCGGTAACCTTGGCCGGCCCCGCTCTCTTGGCCTTCGTCCTGTCCTCTCAGTTCCTTTTAACCCCAATGTAAACCCATGATTCTCCCCTAATCAGGGAAGGTGGGGCCTGAAATGCGCTGGGGAATGGGGTCGGGGGGAAAAGGAAGAGCAGGTTCTGGGATCCCTAATTGGGCGTTCAAATCCCAGCTCGGGACCCGTGCGGCTGCCCAGGCCTGCATCGTTTTCATGTTCTGCCATTGCTGTCTTGAAACTATGTTTTAATGAAGGGCCCCACATCCTCAAGTTTTACAAGGTCCTCTGAGGGGAGCTCTGTCTCTGGCTGAAGGGGGCACTGTTCCTTCACAGGCCTGACCTCTGGCTGCCCCGGACATCCCCTGAATGACACCACTGGCCCCGGGTGTCTCTTAAAGAGCCGTTTGCTGTTGGCTCTCTGCCCGTCACCACCAAGCACTGTGACACTGGTTCTGCCTCTGACACGTCCAGCACCAGCCCCTGGGGCTGCTGCCTTTGCTGCTAACTGGCCCGGTGTCTGGTGCTGCCCAGCCCAGCCTTTCCGATCGCTGCTGCTGGCTGATGTGATGCCTCCTCTGGAGAGACCTCCGCAGAGACTTTCACAGACCTTCGAGACCTTTGACCTTCAAGACCTCTGTGACCTCTGCTTCAGACCATTGCCTGACCACTGCCACTGCCTCTGGCCCTGCCTCTCTCCCAACTTCTCTCTGCCTCCCCTTTGTAAATAAACCCCGTCGCTGAAGCCTGAGCCTGCATGCATCCTGCCTTGGTAACTGTAAGCCCCCGGGAGAAGCCCCTGAGCACAGTGTCAGCTTTGGCACAGACGCACAACCACACAGCCAGGGCAGGTCCCGGGTCCAGTCCTGAGGCCCTCAGCTTGCAGCCTCCCCACCCTGGGCCAGGCTGGCGGCTACAACGTGGAGTCTGAGCCTTCCAGGTTGCCCAGGTGTGGATGTGGCCATGCTGCAGCCCCCCACAATCACATCCAAGGAGGGAAACGGGGGCGTCTCAGCACAGGTCATGGATATTGGGCAGCTCACATGGTGAGGGCATCAAGAACCAACCCCCATCTTGAAGAGAGTTGATGGGCCTTGAAAGAAAGGACAAAAAATAGCCCAAATCTCCCCTGGGGTCGCCAATGCCTGGTCATCTCCTCTCCTTGGGAACTAGACCAGGAGGCAGGTGTGGGGACGGCCAGGGAAGGGGACAGTGTGGCCGCACCGTTGGTGGCTCCTGCAGTGGCCACCTCCTGAGGACAGATGCCAACATTGTGATGTCACAGCCTGGCAGTGGCCCCTGTTCCTGGAGCTGTCCCCTCCGTGAGTGAAAGACCTGGGCCCCGACCCCTCCCCACGCTCAGGTAGCCACGTCTGAAGCTTGCAGGCCTGAGGCGCTGACCCTGGAGCCTCCCACCCTCCCTCCCTGGCCTCCCCTGAGCCCAGGAGGTGGCCGATGAATGTCAGGCGTAGAGAGACTGTCTTCTCCTCTTGACCATAATGGGGATCCAGACAGGGCAGGTGACCCGGGAGCTCTTCACGGCCGTGTTGAAACTCCCCGTGAACTAGCCCGACGTCCCAGCTTGCCCTTGAGCCCACCTCTGTTCTCTGCTCATCTGGAAACTCCGCATGTGCTCAGAAGCAGAGGTGTCGGTTAAGAGATGCGTGGGTGGCGGTGGGTGGGGAGAGCGGGCGAAGGAGCCTGGTCCCCTGCAGGCTGCTTTCTGGACCAGCCCCTCCCCCCCGCTTAGGACGCTTTGCTGAAGCAGGTGCGGGTCTCAGGTCGCTTGGCGCCCCTGGGACTTGACTGAGAGGGGCTGTACCAGTTATGGGGGGGAGGACAGTGACGCCAGCACAGAAAGTCACTTTTGATCCCCAGACCCGGGGGCACAGCTCACAGGCCTCAGACTTTGCACGAATGAGCCCCAAGTGCAAATCCCCTCCTGCCGTTTGCCCTTGAGTGAATCACAGGCGCCCCCGGGCCTCTGTTTCTTTTTCTTTGAAGCGGGAGTGTAACCCTGGCCCGGGAGACTGTGGGAGGATCAAAAGAGAAGGCTGCGCCGGACAGTCACCGGTGCCACCCACGCTCCAGCCGGGCTCTAGTGGTTCTCGTGCTCCGGGGCCACCTGGGGTGCTGAGGGGCCATGGACTCAGGCCCCCACCGCGAAGGGGCCGACCCGGGCAGCAGCGGCCCCCAGGACGGGGAGCTGCAGGTGCTGGTGCAGGAACTCCGGCGGCTCGAGGCCAAGTACGAGTTGTCCCAGACCCCGCTGTGCCCCACCCAGCCCCAGGGTCACCCCAGTGTCCGTGTGGCCAGGGCCCAGGAGTGGAAGGGGAGGGGCCGGAAGCAAACTGGGTGGGGCTGTGGAGAGGGGGGTGGGAGGCTTGACTTTGACCCTGGGCCAGTCCCAGGCCCCTGTTGGCTTAACCCCCACCATACCCTCAAGGGGCTCCCTGACCCCCCCAAAAGGGTTAGCACCAAACCTCCTGGGTCCCCACTTGCAATTTGTGGGAAAAAACCTTTTCCTGCATTTCAGGACAGTGTGAATAAGAAAGTGGGGCCCAAGAGTCAGAGTGGCTTGTTCTGGGCCCCCAGGGGTACCCACTCACCGCAGCCCCTGGCAGCTCAGCCAGCGGTCACCCCACCCTGCCCTCTGCCCAGAGCCCAGGGCCCAGGGGGCTCATCTTGCTTAGGGTCCCCTGTGGCTGTCTCCCCTCTGGGAACAGTGGCACCAGACTACCGAGCTTAGGATGTGCTGGGTGCCCTGGCTTGGTCCCCGCCAGTCCGGGAGGGAAGGACGCAGAGGGGGCCAGGCCACCAACTGGTAGGGGCTCAGCCTCCAGCGAGGCGCTGTGAACCCCTGCACCAGAGAGGCCCACCTCCCTTCCCACACCCCGGGTCCTCCCAGCCGGACACGGGCATCTCCTGACCCAGCTCAGCTTGCTCGGCGGAGACCTGGGGGCGGAGCCACAAAGGTCTGGATCCACCAAGGGTTAGGGGTGCAGGTGGGGGGCAATCAGGACTGAGCAGGGGCATGACCTGGGAGCCTCCAAACCAGTTCCTGCTGTCTGGACCTCGCCGTCCCTGACATGTCTCTCCAGGCAGAAGAAGCTGAAGAGAGAGGTGGAAAAACACCAGCTTTTTGAGGACTATCTGATGAAAGTCCTGGAGAAAATCCCCAGGGGTATGTGTGTCCTTCTGCAGAAAGCTTGTCCTCCCTGGGCCACCCCCGGCTTCGGGGCTGCGGCCTCACTGACGGGGACTCATCTGCAGGGCGCAGCGGCAGGCCGCCCGCCTGGGGCAGCTTCTCGGGCGAGGGTGCGTCCTCTGCCAGCGGGAGGGGCAGCCGGGTGAGGCGGGTGGCAGGGGCGTCTTGCCAAGCCAGCAGCGCGGCGCCCGGCAGCTAGTCAGCCTGCAGGGAAAGTTGTCTCTTACTATGTTGTTGGTCTTTGGTTCTGCTTTTTCTTTGCTGTTTCCGACGGCAGTGACAGGCGTCCGCAGTGGTCTGTGTTTTGGTGATGGTGGTTTGTGCGTTGTCCTAAGTGCTGCCACGCAGGGGAGGCAAACGTGCCTCCTGCTCCTCCTCCTCATTCTCTCAGCAGCAGCAGCAGCAGAGTAACCATGAGCGCTCCTCACGCAGGGACTAGGGGCCGCACCCTTTAGCGAATCTTTTTTATTAAGTAGCATTGCGTGTTTTAGGGGTCCAGGCTCACACCTCCTGAGTGTCTGTCACCACGGTGACCCCCCACCTGCGCCCACCCGCCCTCAGCTCCCGGCCCCTCTGGTAACCTTAGTTCTGCAGTCAGAGTGCAAGGGTTCGTTTTGGTTTGCTTTGGATCAGCTTTTTTGGTCTCTCTTTGGGCTACCTCGGCGCAGGGAGGTTAAGGAACTTGCTTGAGGGGGCCCAGCTGGGAGGTGGGTGGGGCTGCGTCTCCAGCTCTGGTCTGTCTGACGGCACAGCTGCTGTGCCGACTGCGAGGGGGCTGTGGGAGCCCTCAGGACCCTCCCCTGGAGGTCAGGGGAGGCTTCATGGAGGAGGTGGCCTCTCATGGGCGCGAGGGCCCTGCAGAGGGGGCCTGGGGATAAGGAGACCAGTGCACTGGAGCGCCAGGAGCTGGCAGGCGCTGCTGAGAGACGTGGCTGGAGGGCGAGCAGCACCAAGGGGCCGGGGGCACCAGGCCAAGGACAGGCTCAGGCTCTGGGACTCGAAGCAGGCCCAGCCCCAGCGCTGCTTCTGCAGCTTTCTGTCTGGCCTCAGAGCCTCCCCCCAATCAGCTGTTGCTCCTGGGTGCTGTCCCTGCCTCCCGGGGACCTTCCATCTGAACCTGTTCTCTCGGCTGTGGGCGGTCTTTGGAGTGTTGAGGCTTCTTGTGAAGAGGCAGGAGGTGGTGAGGGGCTGCTGGAGTGGCAGGCGGCATGGGCCAGCCCTGCGTGGATTGTCTGCGACTTCCTAGTGTGGGGGCTGGGATCCTGGTGACAGCAGAAGCCCCGTGAACCCCGTTAGCATCACCCATGGCTGGGGGCAGGTGAGGCTGGGTTTCCTGTGCCCACCTACACCTCCACGGCACTGTCTCCTTAGACTACAGGGACGGGGCGGCTCCTGAGGGGGCCCTGGTGGAGGCCATGGTGGAGCACTATGGGAAGCTCTTCAAAGCCAGCCAGGATGCCCAGAAACACCTGGAAGCCTTTTCCAGGATGAACCATGCTGTGCACCAGATCCTGGAATATCTAGAGGAAGGCTTTTGGATCGTTATCCCGGTAACAGCTACTTAAGTCCAGCCCATTTCCCTGCCCCAGAGAATTGGGGGTGCAGAGCCCCCTTCCCTCTATACCCCCAGGGAGACCCGGAGTGGCAGTGGGCCAATGAGAGGGCCTGGGTGGTTCACTCCCGAGTCTTGCTCTAGTGCTTTCTCGCCTCTTCTGCTGGCTGAGTCCAGGTTTCTCCTGAGCCCCCAGCTTATACTTAAAAAATGTTCCTCCTGATAGAAAGGCCTGAGTTCTGATTCAAACAAACTAGGGTTCAAATCCCAGGGCGGCCTCTGATGGACAGCATGACTGGCTGTGGTGTCCCCTCGCTGAGCCTCAGAAGGCGGCACTTTCCTGGCAGAAGAAACGGCCCCAGGCAAAGGCAGGGTCGGAAAAGGGTGCTGGCGGCAGGCTGCAGGCTGATGGAGGGTGGGTGCTTCCTGCCAAGGACCGGGGTGACTCTCGCAGCAGGTCTCTGCCCCCTAGTGGGAGCGCTGAGGCCCTACAGCATCCTGCACCTTTGCTTCCCTTGAAGAAAAGCGGTGAGAAGGGTTTACAGGCCTCATCTCCCTGAAATCGCACCCAGCCCTCGAATTAAGTGCGTTCACCCCAGGTCTGGGTCTATGGGAGTGAGGTGAATGTGCAAGGGCAGGCTTAGAGCCTCACTTTCTTTAAAATGTTCCTATTTTGTTTATTGTGGGGTTTTTTTTTTTGCATGAACTTTTTAAAATCGCATTAAAACATGAGTTTTCTTAATTACTGAATTTTTGGACCCTCCTTAATCTTTTACCTGAGTCCCAACCAAGCTATTCTTCCCATTTTTGAAGCGAGGAAACCGAGGTTTGCAGAAGCCAGAATGCTTCCTATGGCTGCCAGGCAGGGGCTCTGGATGGGGGGTTGTGGCCGCATACCCTGTATCTTGCAGGCTTGGACCCCAGACGGCATTCACAGCTTTGCTCCCTGGGCTCCTCCCAGCAGCCTCAGGGGCGGAAGGACACAGGGTTTATTCTGTGTATGGAGAGGAAGACGGGGCTGCAGGGCTGGAGGCAGGATTCAAACCCCACTCGGCCTGGCCAAGCCCTTTCTTGCGTCTCCTGGTGGCTCCAACACCCCTGGACACCCAGGAATTTCCCTGCCTCCCATCTCCATCAGCACCCAGACTACCCTGGGCAGGGAGCTCCCCGGGTCCAGGCCCAGGCCCAGGGGAGATGCCCCTGGGTGGGGAGAGGTACCCTGAGGTGACCCCGCCCCTCCCACTGCAGGGCCTCAAGATCCAGCTGTGTCAGCTTCAGAAGAAGTGTCACCGCTGGCAGGACCCGTCATGGCACAGGGAGCAGGATGTCACTGGTCAGAAAGACCTGGGCTGTTACCACGTGAGTCCAGTCTGCTGGCCCTGGGGTCGGGGCAGGGATGGGGCTGCTATCTCTTCAGGGGTCACTCAGTGGTCACCTCTCACCACCCGCCACAGCCCCCCACCCCACGTACCCACTTACCTCTCCTTGGCGGCTGTCAGCTTTCAAAGGGCTTCCCTAGGGTGGGACAGAGGGTCTTGGTGGATGGGGAAACTGAAGCCACAGACAGTTAAGGATCAAGTTCCACCAAGAAGCCAGGACGCCCTGCCCAGCCAGGGCCTGGCACGCCCTTCTAATTGCCAGAAGACTGGCTTCTCAGTCTTTCCGCGGCGCTGAGGCTGCTGGCTGAAAAGTGGGGCTAGGCGGGCAGCCCCTCCCCACTCCCAGGAGTGCTCGTGTCTCCGCTTCGCCAGGCTGAGCTCAGGGCCCGGCCCGCATCAGATGCTCCGGGATACTCCTTGGTTCTTACACAGTTTTCGCAGAAGAGGTGCCGGGAGAGGACGCCGTCGCCAAAGTCCGTGACCAGGGACCAGGATTTATGGGCTTAGTCTCTTGAGCTGCTCCCTGCTGGCCTCGGACCCCTGGGTCCGCACCATGTCTGTGCTCTCTGGTCTCAGGGGCTGTCTAGGGACACAGTGGGCCAGGCCCGGGGCACCCCCCAACACCCGTCTGGGCTGGATGCTGTCAGGGACGCGGGAGTTCTCAGCCCCCATGGGAGTCTGCTCTGGGACACACGGTACTCGGCTTCCCATGTGGCCAGTCCCCGGCCCAGGAGGGAGGTGGCATGGATTGGCCACTTCTGGGTCTTTCTCTCTAAGGTGAGCAGTAAATCTGCCACAGCTGACCACGGGTGCAGAGACCTGAAGTCCCAGAGTCCGGCGCTGTCTGGCTCGAGGAGCACTGGGTCCTTCCACGCCCCTGCCCAGCCCCTGCCTCAGGTGTGGACCGTGTGACTCCAGCCAGGAGGACCCACTGGGGAGAGTCAGCCCATGTTCCTCTTTGCAGGGGGTGGGGATGCTCAGGTCCCGGGGCGGGAGGGGCCTCATCTCAGCCCGTTTGGGCGTGGGGCACTGACCAGGAGGAGAAGGTGGCCTCTGGCTTTGGATCCCTTTCCTGGCCTGGGGAGGGGTAGGGGTGCTGGGACAGAGACAGCGTCTCCTCCCCTCCTCCCACAGAACCAGCTGCTCCACTACATGCAAATGACCATTGACAGCATGGCCCAGCTCTGCTGCTCCTCCGTCCAGCCTGAGCCCCAGGGCGTGGACCTTTTCTCCAAGCTCGACCTGATTCAGGTGTGACTCTTCCGTGTGACATTTTGAGGAACTGTCAGCCTGTTTTCCAAAGTGGCTGCATGATCTTTTTTAAAAAAATATTTTATTTTATATAATTCTTATATCTTTTTTCATTTTTGCACAATGTACGCATTTTCATTTTGGTTATATTCCCCAGACAATTGCACCCCTCCTTATTTTTTTTTTTTAATCTTGAAAGAGATTTATATTTTGTTAAAAACAAATTATGAAAAATTTTCAGTAAATTATAATCTTACTGTTGTTAGAAAAATATACTTTAAAGTGTGTTTTGGTTAACGCTAATTTGTATTTTTCCCCACTACAAAGGAGAAATAGTCGTAAAATCTAATTTAGAAATTATCAAACCAAGTAAAAATAAATTCTCTCATAATTATAGCACATAGATTTACATTGCAATTTAGAACTAGTTGCCATACTTACAACTTTGTAATTTGCTTTTTTACTTCAACCTAATCAATTCTTTTTTTTAATAATAAATTTTATTTTTATATTCCCCATACAATTGCAACCCCCCCATTTTGACCCCAATCCCTCCCCTCCCGCCCCCCACCCCCCAAAAAGTGTCTCTGGTTTATAGTTGCTTGTTGATTTTGATTTTTACTTTGTATTAATTAGTCTTTTTCCTGGTCCCTTATTTAAGTTTTCTAGATTCCTGCTATGAGTGAGACCATCCGGTATTTTTCTTTTCTTTCTGGCTTATTTCGCTGAGCATGAGCCCTTCCAGCGCCATCCATGTTGCTGCAAATTGCACGTGTTTATCTTTTATGAATGCTGAGTAATATTCCATGGTGTATATGGACCACATCTTCTTGATCCAGTCATCTATTTTTGGGCATTTGGGCTGTTTCCAAAGCTTAGCTATTGTAAATTGTGCTGTTATAAACATAGGGGTGCAGGTGCTCTTTGGAATTGATGTTTCTGTGTCCTTTGGGTAAATACCTAGGAGTGGAATTGCTGGATCCTATGGAAGCTCTATGTTTAGTAGGTCCAGAAATCTCCACACAGCTCTCCATAGTGGTTGGACCAGTGTGCACTCCCACCAGCAGTGCAGAAGAGTTCCTTTTTCTCCACACCCTCGCCAACATTTGTTGTTGCTAGTTTTTTTAATATGTGCCATTCTCACTGGTGTGAGATGGTATCTCATGGTAGTTTTGATTTGCATTTCCCTGATGACAAGTGATGCTGAACATTTTTTCATATGCCTGTTGGTGGCTGCATAATCTTAATCCCACAAACCATGTGTGAGCGTCAAATTTCTCCAGCTCCTTGTCCACACTTGGTATTGTCTGTCATAGTTTAGCCATCCTAGTGAGTATGAAGTGGTATTGCATGTGGTTTTGGTTTGCATTTCCCTGATGATTAACAAGGTTGAACATCTTTTCATGTGTTCATTGACTCTTGGAGAAATTGACTTTTTTGGAGAAATGTCTATTCAACCCTTTGCTCATTTTTAAATTGGATTGTTTATCTTTTTATTTTTGAGTTGTAAGCATCTTTATATATTTTGTATACAAGTTTCTTATCAAATACATGACCTGAAAACATTTTCCCATTCTACGAGATGCCTTTCTACTCTATGGGTGTCACTTGAGGCACATACATTCAATTTTGATGAAATTTAATTTGTTTTTTCTTCAATTATTTTTATTTTTTCTTGATTACTTATGCTCTAGGGGTCTCATTTAGGACAGTATTGTCTCATCTAGAGTCATGAAGATTTACACCTCAGTTTTCCTGTAAAAACTAGTGTTTGTTCTAATATTCAGTTTATGATGTATTTTTAGTGAGCTCTTACATCTGGTATGAGATAGTGGTTCAATTTCATCCTTTTGCACAAGGATATTTCGTTTTCCTGATATCATTTCCTTCCCGCCATTGAATTGTTTCTCATCCCTGTCAAAATCGGCTAACTGTGAATGTGAAGGTGCATTTCTGGGCTCTTAGCTCTAATCCATGTAGCGCCTGGCCATTCTCACACCTATTCCTGAAACTTTGAAGTTTGGCAAGGGTGAGTCACCCGGCCCCATTCTTTCTACCTGAGTTTGACTCTTCTATCAGGTGCATCTTGCATTATGAGCAGATGTTTGATGGCTGAGTGGGTTTCAGGCATGGGGTGACCCAGACTCCCTTGCGCCATCAAGGCCGAGCCCTTTCCACCAATTCCTCCTGGCCATCCTAAGTCCTAACTCACTCTCCTCACTTGAGGCTGGCTCCATGCAGATGCCCAAACGATGAGGGCCGGTCCCTTCCCTGTGCTGTCAGGGAGCAACAGTGCCTGGGAGGAAGCCAGCATCTTAGCCAAGAAGGACTTGCCACAAGAGTTTCACGGGCACTATCCGGGCTGCTCCTGGCACAGCTCCTGGGCACACTCACGTAGAAGGCCAGACGACTGGCATCCTCTGGGGCATAACTTCTTCCCATGGCACTATGAAACATGCAATTGAGGAAGGGCACATTGGTCCAGTCACAGAGTATTTACTTCTTCTTCTTCCCAAGAAAATGGAAGAAATTACACAGTGTGGCCAGGGGCCTCCCCCAACAATCACTCAGCCACCACCTGGCATCACCCACAGGTGCTCAGCCAGGCACAAGGGTGGGAACCAGAGGAGGCGGAGGTCGGTGCAGGGTTGCCTTGTCCTTGACCTTAAGAAATGTGTGCCCCTCACAGAGGGAGGCTGGGGCCAGGCAGAGTGGGCTGCTTGGAGGAGGCAGTGAGAAGAGGAGGCAACTCCATTCAGGGGTCACACAAGGACCCAGACTCTGAATCTGGCACCATCGGGCTGTGCAGCTTCAGGCAAGCGGCTGAACCTCTCTGAGTCTTGGTTTGCTCATTCGCCAAGTGGCAGTGATGCCACATGCTGTGCAGGACCTTCATGGGAGGGAGAGGAAATGCAGGAACCTTGACGGTGCTTTGGTCCCTGAGGAGTGGCGCCCAGGGGCCCAGGAGCAAGCAGGTGAGAGAGATTGGTTTTCCCTCCCAGGAATTCATTCTGGACAAAATGGAGACGGTGCGGTTCATCTCACGGCTCAAGGAACCCAGAGTCTGCTGGCCCAGGAGCGGCCTCGGGGGCCGGAGGCTTGGATGGGGCCCCGGGCTCTCAAGGAAATGCCCAAAGAGTCACAATTTCACCCCTAAGAACGCCCCTCCCAGCACCCAGACTTCAGGGCACCCCCGCCTGTGCTGAGCCCGCCCGCGGCCTTGCCAGCATCACGACCCTCTCCTCACCCGACTGCCTCCTTTCCTCACCTCCAGCCCCCGATGGGTGGGAGCCAGCCTGGGAGCAGTGGCGGGGGCAGGGGGCAGCACCCTGGGGCCAGCCGGTGGGGAGGCGCTGCTCCCCACGATGGGAGAGCGGCAGGGAGCTGGCGAAGACTGCCTGGGGCGCGGGAGAGGGATGGGGCTCCTGAAGTGGGGGTGACGGCAGGAGGGAAGCCCAGGGTGGTGCCCGGCTTCCGGGGGGCTGGCGCTGCCCTTCTCGCTGGGTTTGCCTGAGACAGGCCGCCGGGCGGGTGCCTGGGTGTCAGGGCACCTTAGTTGCAGGGCCTCTCACAAGCAGCCCCCAGAGCAGGAGTGTGTGGGGAGCAGAGCAGACTGTGGGGGCCCTTCAAGTTCGTCGCTGGAGCTCAGAAGCTGACAACCAAGTAGCGGCCTTTCTGCGCACCGAGGGCCCAGCCGCCTGGAGTGCACGGTGCCCTCCGGGGCCCCGGCGGGCGCAGCCCCTCCTAGCCGCTCTCCTGATTAATGGAACCCCCTCTCCTGCTGCCTTTCCAAGATCACCGCTGGGAAAGCCTGACCAGCGTGACCGGGTTGGATTGTGCTGCGGAGTGACAATCCGCGGCCCTGGAAAGCCCTCACCGGGCGGCCTGCTCCCGCCGTGGGGAAAAGGAGAACGTTAAGAGCCACGGAGGAGCGGCTGACAGGTGAGTCAGCAAATCCACTTCCAAAGGGAGGCTCACCTGGTGGCGCAAGGGGTTAAGGCGCAACCTGGGAAGATGTCCGCAGCGTCTACGGCAGGAGTTCAATCCCCGGCCGTGGAGACACCAACACGGTGTGGCGGACCTCTCCTGTCTCCCCGCTGCTCCCCTCAGCAGTGTATTTGGGTCCGCCTGCCTGTTCTGCTCCCCACTCTGTCCCTGGAGACTCCTCTCACCCCCCACACCTCTGGCCTGTACCCCAGCTCTTGTATAAATAAATAAATCTTAGAAACAACAACAAAGGGAGTCTCAGAAGAGATGCGGACCTTTGGGCACCCGGCGGTGCGAGGGCTCAGGGGTTCTTGGTCTGTGGAGGCTGGGAGGGCCGGGCGGAGCAGGCCGCCTGGGGTACATCAGGGGAGCTACAGAGACAAGGCAGGCTGTGGGCGACGGGTCTGCAGAGCAGTCTGAGCAAAGGCAGCTGAGAAGGAGCGTCCTGAGTCTCTGGTCTCACAGACCTTGGCGCAGAGAACGAGCTCGGGACCTGGGTCAGGTTCCGGAGGGAGAGCCTGGGGAGGGCTGAGGACCGCGAGGAAAACCCCAGGGCGGGAACTCCAGCGTGGCTGGCACATGAAGCCCCCGAGGGGCGTTCTGAGAAAGTGGGCTGGGGACCATCGTGGGGGCCCAGGGCCTGTCAGAGGCCACAGCAGAGTGTCCCAATCCATCCGGCTGTGGTAACGCAATGCCACAGACGTGCTGAAAGAGCAGGCGCTTCCCTCTCAGTCTGGAGGCCGAAGGCCAAGGCCAAGGCAGGCTCAGAGCCTGGGGAGAGGCCGACCTCTCCCTGCATCCCGTCCCTCGTGGTGGAAGGGAGCAGGGAGCTGTCTGGGGCCTCTTCTCCAAGAACTGGAATCCCTCTCCTGACAGTCCGCCCTGCCGGCCTCTCCCCTCCCAGCGGCCCCACCTCCTAACACGTGACATTGGGGTGAGGGTTTCAACCTCTGAATCCAGGGAGGACATAGACATTCAGAGCCTGGGAGGAAGCCTCCCACATTCCTACCTCCCAGCTCTCTTTCTCTGTCACAACATTGGCATTCCAGAGAGATCCAAAGTATCCCATGGTCTCTAACGTGGGCACACTCGGGCAATGACTCCTAGATTCGATCTAAGCATCTAAGAACCGTCAGGAAGGCGACCACCCACCCCGGACTGGCTGGACCTGAAGGTCTGGCGTGGTGAGGCCTTACGACCTGCGTTTCTAGCAAGTTCCCAGGTAATGCTGACGCCAGCAGCCTCAGGACCACACTTTGAGAAGCTCTGCTTCTGAGAAATGGCACATCCAAAAATGCCTGAGCTGGGCTCTGCCCCCTGAGCACCACCTCTCCTGCCAGTCTTCGGTTCCCCGTCTGCATGATGGGGCTGGACCTGGCATTCTGAGAGGGCTGCCCGCCCTCCCCCCCCCACCCCAGGGCACAGATCTCTGGTTCTCTGCTTCCTGCCTTCCCCGGAGGACTCTGCAGAGGGCCGTTGTCTTTCTGTCTCCTGCCGCGTGGCTGCCGTGCGCCGGTTGTACATGCGGGGGTCTAGCTCAGAGCCACACTCCCGGGAGAGGATGATCCACACAGATGCTGGTGCAGCCGCGCCCTGGTCCTCAGCCCACATTGGCAACCAACTGGGTGGCCGGTCTTGCAGGAGCTCTAGCCTCCCCCGGGCAGAGCTTGCTCATGACAAGCAGGGCGCTGGCTCAGCCCCGACCCCGTACCTTGAAAGCGCTTTCCTCCTGGGTTCCGTTAGCTCAAGAAAGGCCCTCCAGGGAGTCTGGAGGAGAAAACCGCGGTTCCGGTGCCTCGGAAAATGCCAGTGCCCCTGCGAGCCCGTCCAGACGCTGAGACCCCAAGACCCGGGAACGCCAGGGCCTGGGCATCTCTGAGACCGAGTGTGGTCACGGCCGATGCACCCCGGCTCCAGGCAACTCCGGGGAGGAAAGCCTGGCTCGGGGCCCCTCCTGGGAGACCCGCGTTGTTAGCAAGGGGCCGGAACCTAAAAAGTTGGCTGTTTGGTTAGAAAATAACATTTCGTCCTTTCACGCCGCGCACTGCTGTGAGAGAGGCGGGGTGCTGTGGGAGAGGCGGGGTGCTGTGGGAGAGGCGGGGTGCTGTGGGAGAGGCGGGGTGCTGTGGGAGAGGCGGGGTGCTGTGGGAGAGGCGCGGGCGAGTGTCGCCAGGAGGCCCTCGGGGCCCTGCCCAAACTCTTGGGCCCCGCTGGCCTTCACCGCGTGGCCTCCGCGAGCAGGAGGCCAAGGGAGGCGCGTGCGCCGGCATGTGCATGTGCGTGTGCGCGAGCGTCGGCGTGTGCAGACACGCAAGGGACACGCGGCCGGGCACGTTCGTGCACACGTGGAGGTCTGCGCGTCGTGGTCTAGTCACGGTAAGCGGGGAGAGGACCGCGGCCCCGGGAGGGGGGCTGAGGGTGGCGAGGTGGCAGGATGTGGATGTGTGTCCATGGGGTTCGCTGACGGGGAGGCGGGATGCGGGGGGCTCAAGTTTTCTTCTCGTGGCGAGGGCAGGGTAGCCCATCATTCTAAAAAATTTCAAAAAGGTGATGTAAGACCTTTGTACACCTTGAATTTTACCTCCAAGCTTCCTTAGGATGGGGCGGGGGAGGGGCTCCCCTTGGTTACTCCCTCACCTCCGTGGTCACCTCCAAAGTCAGGGGACAGTGAGCGCAGGCCCCGGTCCTCAGGCCTGAGGGGAGCTGAACGTCTTTGCACACTGACGTTTCATCTGCAAGTTTCATGTAAGCGAATTCTCGGTGCATTTCACAAAACCACTTTGTTCTTGCACAAAGAAATCACGTCTCCCCACTGTGCACTTCTCTGAGTGAGCCTGAGGATCCAGGGGCAGCTCAGCTGGGTGGCCCCGGGCCTGGGGGGACCGGCGCTCACCCCACTCAGCCTCCCTCATCTGTAAACACTGGCTCGAGTTGCAAGCAGCTTTCAGCAGCCCCTCCAGGGCCAGCAAGTTGCCAGGAATCCCAGAGCTTCTCGTGTCCCGGGAGAGGGCGCTGGGGGTTCATGCGGCCCCCTCCCTCCTGCAGCCCCACCTCCTCCGCCTCCCATACCCACATCCCGCCCTCCGCAGGTCCTGTCCGCAGGACCCTGGGCCCAGGGTGCTGCCCACTTGTCCCGTCTCCCGCCCCTGGGTGCGCGCATCTCCCCACAACTCAGTCCCCTCTTCTGGACTGCTCCTCCCACGCGCCTCCCAGGCCCACGCTCCTCACAGCCGCCGCAGCAAGCGCTGAAGAGGCACGTCTGGCCACGTCCACCCTCCCTCCTGCTTCTCCCAAGGCTCCCCACTGCCCCCAAGACAAGCCCCGTCCTGGGCTCCAGGCCTGCGGGACCTGCACCCCACACACACTGGGTGCCTCTCCAGCCTCTCCCCAACTTTATTGCTCCAGCCAGACTGGCCCACGCAGCTCTGGGAACTCACCAGCAACTCCCCCAGATTGATCCTGCGCTCCCCCTTCTCTACCGTTTGTCCCCCCGGCGTTTGCACCTGCTCATCCCCTCAGTGCACGGCTCTCCAGCGAGCTCAGGGCCGCCCGCCCGGGGCAGACACTCGGCAGAGCCAGAACCGTGACAAATGCCAGGGAGGGACGTGGCCACGCCTCCTGCACTTACCGAAGTTGGCGACTAGTTGGTTGATCTGTGCGATGGAAGCGGGGACTCTGCGGGACACCCCGTCTGTCCCAGTGGGGGCTTGAGGACGTCACCCCCAGGGCTGGCTTCAGCCACACAATTACCCGGAGGGCGTCATTTGCCCCGCTTCACAGAGGGACAGACAGGCTGTGCCAGTCACCCCATGCTGCTCTACCCACCCCCCACCCCCCTTACCCCTCCCCCATGCAGCTGTCTAAACAGTGAGCTCCCAGGACCAGCCTCGCCCCAGGTCAGCAGCCTGGGCATGGCTTAGTGGGGCCCCTGGCCCCGGGTCTCTCCACAAAGCTTCTGTCCAGCCACCAGGCGGGCTGAGGCTTCCGCTTAGGCCTCCCCCAGCGGAGAGTCACAGGTGAGCTTCACACTCCCAGCTGTTGGCAGATGAAGCTGGTCACAGCCTGTTGGACTTTGGGGCTTGACCTTGACCCATGGGCCTCTCCACAGGGCGGATGACAATGTGGCCCAGGTGAGAGAGGAGAGAGCAAGGCAGAGCCCTGGTCTGTGGGTCCCCCAGATCGAACCTGCCCCTCACCCAAGCTCAGACATGACACCCCGTCGTCCCCGTGCTGTTCAGCCACAAGCAAGTC